GTGTGGAAGTCCAGGGCATACAGCCTCTGGATTCCTCCGTTGATTTGCACTCTAGGGACCGACATTTCATGGTGTCTTGAAAACGTATATAAATGTCGACAATAGGCAATGTAAATTTCGTAATGACGTTGACAGCAACCAAAGTATTTGATCATCTAGATAAGAATCTATAATCGTTCTCCAAGCTGATGTGAAAATCATTGTTCATGGCGTTCTCTTTTCTTATGGTCCTTGTCAAGATTCCCAATATACCCAGTTTGTTTGTATTTCCTTTTCATCTTCACTCGGTTAGCTAGATTTTCCTACTCTACAATTTTATTTTCTTCTTCTTTCACCTTTAGTGAGTGAACGTCTTGATTTAGCTCATCGACAGAATACAGCGGCCACTCTTGGACGGATCCTATAACATATTTTTGTTTTAATTTGAATATTTGGTTGTTTTTTTTTTTTTGTTTTTTTTTCGTTGTTAGGATCACCCCTTCCACTCTCTCATTTCATGATACTTCATTTTTATATTTTTGTAAAAAATGAGAATAATAATTTTTAAAATTGTAAATATTCATAAACTTTTACATCATGGAGTTTTAGTAAGTTCCTCTGTGAGTATGTGGTATTTTGGTAAATGTAGTATTGTGCGAAGAGGGATGTTTTCTTGTGTAGGACTGTATTATAAGGAATGAATGGGTCGTGAATCAGATTAGCTAGGTTTAGGATAGTCAATGATGACCAGTCTCACTCCACTTTCCCTTCGGACTAATATTGTACGTAAAAGAAATATAATGAATATAGACGATTGAAAAGATAAAACCTTAACAACCGTCCGTATTTTCTAGCCTCCGGAATTCTTCTTCCAGCCATCTGCAAAGATAAGATTGAAATTAAAAAAAGTATCTAAACATGAAGAAAATAACAATTCATATACGATTTGTTTTGCCCGACTTAGCTTACTGTAGCTAACTTGATGTATTTATTGAAAATCCCGAACATTTGGAATTACCTCTAGGAATTTCATAGATTTCACGTACCCGACTGGCCATGAATTTATCTGTCTTATTACAACAGTAAACCAGGGCTTCCAAACTTCGAAATATTTTTGAAACGACTCGATAATAAACGCCATCGACAGCTTAATAGTTATAACTCTCTAGAAACTTGTACGACAAAAGCAAGTTGGTTTTAAATTTGTAGTTATTTTTAAGCTTTAATTTTCAGGTGACTGGAAAAGAAGTCTTATTAAAAAAACAGTAAAAACAGTTTGTTTTCTGGCTAAATGCCTAATTTATACGGTTAAATAAAAAAAATCGGCTTAAGCTGACGAAAACGTAAAAGTTGAGCATTATCGTTGTATTGTAAACTTAGCATTTGAAAAGCTTTGGGTTTTTCCTTAACTAATATTCTAAAAGCATTTGGTATCCCATTAGTTACAACAAAAATATTGTGGCCATAGTTCTAATCGTTCTAGAGTTATGGGCTGCAACCAAACAAAAAATGACATTTAGTAAAATTCTTCCTTTCTAGACTTGAATAAACTGACAATCATTACAATCATAATCATATTCAATATTATTATTATTATTATTATTATTATTAATTGTCCCTGATTATTCACACCAGCGATTAAATGAGAGTAAATCTCCTGCAACACTTTTCTGTTTTCAGTGATGCTGTTGTCTGGGAAGTCCCGAGTCTTTTTCTCATTTCCAATTTCTCCAACCTTTTTCCTAAATTCTTCTGGATTGTTCCCAGAACATAAATAACAACTGGTACCACTGTCATCACTGTCATTTGCCAGGACAGCAAAAATAACTATCTGGCACGATTTTCGCTTTTTTCCTTACAGTGACTAAGTCGGGTCTTCTTGGATTGAGTGATTCCTTAAAATTCCAAAATCTCAGACGAATTTGTCTCATTTGTTAGATTATATTTAAGTCTGTGCATATATCATTAGTTTATATGATAAGAATGCAGTTGCTTGCACAGTTTCCAGTGGATCATCTTTCCTACTCAATCATGCCTATTTTTTTTACTAATTTGCTATATCGCTACTTATGGGGTTATTGTCTCGTTTTATTTCCACAGTTTAAATTTACAGTTTTTCCGTGGTTGGTTCTTATGTTATTGTTTTGGTACACTATTAAGAACGACTTAGTTTCTCTTTTTAGGTTTCCTCTTCGTAGGCATGTTCATGTAAATTTATCTGCTATTCACTCGAATTATCTTCTGACCATAGAAATGCCCAGAGAATTGCGGGGGAGGGTACCATTTTTGTGATTTCGCTGTTGCGCATCCTGGATTTCTATCGATTATTCTGTTCGTTTTGAGCAACTTTTGCTTGTTGTAAATAACCTGTATTATTATTAATAATGAGAGAGAGAGAAAGAGTGCAATACGTCAACAAAGTTAAGCTCGTGTATGAAGCAACATGACACCTAGTCTAATAAGGTACGTACATCCAATTTTACGCGATTTGTTAAGAGAGTTTGATAAAAACAGCGCATTACCTTTCAATGGGGGGGTCCAATATGAAATTACGTCAAATAGGGTAAACCCAATACGCTTAGACACACTTCGATTGGTGGTCTTGTCAACTAACTAGAAATGACGCACAAGTCGCCTTGGCTGACTCAACATTTAAACTAAAAGAAAAAGATATAATACTTACTTAGTACTCTCGCACGTAAACATAAATGTACAGTGCGTCAGATCCTAAGAGAAAATGCTCAAATGGTCATGGCCAGGCATCTAATAAGCAAATCTGTGGTATGGGTAGTGTAACCAATCTTAATTCAACAAAACTCATGTTAACGCCACTAACCAATTAAAGTCAGAAATTATGAGAAATGTTGTTTTTGCTATTATTGTTGTTGTTGTTTGTGTTATGTTTCCTGCTTTGTATCCTGTAGAGCTGGATCCATACTATGGTCCTTAGGAATTGTCATTTAATTGATAACAATTTACTTAGTATATGGAATATTCCTAGTAGAGCGATCTTCTGGGCAATTTGTATGTTGATGTTACCTGGGGCACTGTTAGTAAAATTGTTCATTCCTTTTCTTACGAGGCTCCGATTACTATTTGTACAGACTCAGCCTTCATTCCCTACATCTTGTTAATCGCGATTATTAATATTTTATTTCTTTTAATTTCTTGGTGTGTACACATTTCTGGGTCTCGCCCAGAGACCAAAAGTCAGAAATGACATCATGACATTTTCCACTGATCAATTAAAAAACATACACGAACACACATATTTTACATAGATAAAGCCCTTCGTAAGAATAATTTCGTGAGAATAATTTTTTGTATTTCTTTAAGGCATGGGCTTCCAGGATTCCCTTTAATGAGTCTACTGGAATCTTTTCCAACCAATCTGAGGGCTCCAACTACAACAGGGATTGTTGACGTTCCCATATGCCCCATTTTTGAGATTTCGATTTCAAGGCCATTGTACTTTCATAGCATTTTGAATATCTTCAGAGATACATTGCAGTCTGCAGGGACTGCTATATCAATAAGGAGGCAATTTTTTGTTTGCGGTTTCTAATGTCTGGGCAGTTAACTATGATTGTCCTGTCTGTGTGTATAGCCCCATAAAATTGTTACATGTCCTATCTTCGTAACCGGGTTTGGATGGTGCTTAAACCAATTTCTTTCAGTTTCCTTCACGTAGAAGTTACAGATTTTCCAGTGCAGATATTGGCCCACACTGTCATGCCGGGTTTTATATTCAGTGCGTACCAATACTGTAAAACCTAATACAATCTGATTCTGAATGTTTATCACAAAATCTGCACTTTGGACTAATACAATTTTTCAGTACGTGTGCTTGATAATTTCTAGTTAGAAAGCATTGGCCCTATGCAGCAAGTATAAACAGGGTACGGGGTTTGTCTACATTAGCTTGTTTGGTACGGCAGAGTTTTGACCATGAAGCGCTTTATCCTGCCATCGTTTCTGTATCTAGTCGGTTGCATTTGCTTTTGCTTTCTTCCATTCGCTTAATATCAGTTATTATTATTATCATTATTATTATTATTATTATTATTATTATTATTATTATTATTTTCTTTGATTTCTGGCGTTAACACATTTCTTTCCGGGTCCCGCCCAGGGACCTAAGGTTAGAAATGGCATCATGACACTTTCCACTGGATTACATAGATAAAGCCCTTTGTAAAGTGTGGGCTGTACTTGTCAGATCAATTTTTTGTATCTCCTTGAGGCATGGACTTCCAGGAATCCCTTCAATTAGTCTACTGCAATCTTTTCCAACCAGTCCTAGGGCTCCAACTACAACAGGGATTGTTGATGTTCCCATATACCACATTTTCGAGATTTCTATTTCAAGAGCCTTGTATTTTGGCAGCTTTTTGAATATCTTCAAAGATACATTGCAGTCACCAGGGACTGTCATATTGTTATTATTATTCACGGCTAATACGTTGGTATTGTAATTTTAACTGTCACTAAGTATTCTGTATCTCATTGATCGTCATAATAATAATAATTATTATTATTTGTTTATTTTTTATTTCAGTTATATAATTATTATGTATATCAGTACTATTATAATGTATAAGATCTTGTTTTCTCGTTCATAAAAGTTGATGTTGGCTTGTGGCTGTGTGTGCGTCAGTAAAAAGAGTTAATCACACAGACAAAAAGTTAGAAACATTTAAGTAGCTTTTATTTGTGCGGATTAGTTTGCATGAAATCAGATTAAAACACAAGCAGCTGCCCTAAATAAAGCTAAACCCTGGCAACGAGAGGCGAAATACAAAATACAATGAAGCGTCATGAAGAGAGAGCTACTGATTTTGCCTGGAAGGGACAAAACGACGGCATCAATTTAATGAAAGTTGATTTTGTCGAGGTCGACATGGTTTTATTGTAGATAACTGACGAAATCAGAATATATCTTTATATTGTAGATTTTACATTCGTTGCCTTGCTTCGAGCGCCTCGACTTCCTGATGATGAATGAAAGGTGACCTTAATAGCTAAGAACTATACATTATCATGTATATCTCTCACTTTGTTTCTATATCTATCACTTTCCATATCTCTATATCTCTTTCTGTTTCTATCTCACTCTACCCCCGTCTCTCTCTCTTTCTTTATTTATCTCTCTCTCTTTCTTTATTTATCTCTCTCTCTTTCTCTCTCTAGCTCTATCTCACTCATTTTGTCACTGTTTCTATCTCTATCTCTGTCTAGCTATAGCTATCTATCTATCTATTTCAACGTCATTACTGAGAAGATAATACTAAGTAAGGTGCTAGAAATTGCGTAAATATTCAATGAATGCAATAGAGATGAACAGTCACTGGTAATGACAATCCTAAACAAATGTTTTGAAAATACGTAAAAACAAAAACTAAATAACTAAAACTAAGCAGAAGACTTTTATTTAGTCATCCAAACAAAGGGTTTTGCCACGAAGCAGAAAATGTGTTTAAACCTATAAGTTAAATGTTTTTTGTAAGAAAATAAAAATATGAGTGTGTTGGGGAGCTGCTAAACGAACGGATAGACTAAAATTGAAGTGAAGTGATAAGCTAAAGAAATATTTAAGACCTTACTAGAAAGTTTCGAAAATTGAAGACTGCATAGTTAAATAGCATCGCCGTAATCAATATGAACGATATCAGATAGGTTTACAAACAGGTTGGTAGAAATTAAAAAAGCGATAATTGAATTGATTCAGAAGATAGAGAGAATAATAAGGGAATAATCAGAGATTTAAAGAAAATTACGATCATATTGGGTTATCGATAGTCAACAGGGTATCAATGATGGGGGTTATTTATTTCCCCTAAGGCTAGACCAAGCTTGATATCTGATTTTGATTGGAACCGTAAACATGTACGTTTTAACTTGGTGAAATAAAATAGGCTACAGTAAACATTCTCTTAAGTACCACAGATCTGCTTGTCAGTTGCCTGATCTTAAACAGTTGGACATGTCCTCTAAAGGCAGACACTGTGCATCTTTTTTCACGGACGGAAGTAGTGGAGGAGCATCATAATCAAGTATCGAGAAAGGGTTTTTTTTTTGTTTTTTGTTTAAGTTTCAAAGATGATACTGCCAAGGTGACTTGGGAGTTCTATCCAAATTCCTGGAGAGCATCTTCAGTTGGGAACAGTTTAAGTAAACTAGGTCCCTTTCTTTTCCATATCATATATCAGTTTAAAACGTTGTGTTTGTAGTAATATATCTGAATTACAACATCAATTGATGAAATGATAAAACAAATATTGCCTCTTTCCACAGTTGGCGTTTAATGTATATTTTTTAAAAATTTAGAATCCAATCAATGGTCAAATCTTTTATTTCATTCCTGCCTTATATGCTTTATTTTATAATTTTGTATTAACTTCATCTTTTAGAAAATTTAATCGTCGAATTTACATTTCAGCAAATGTTGAATGAAATTACATGAATTAATTGATCAAAAGCTGCTTTTTTATAACATCTTCTTGGCTTTTTTGTTATCATGAGATTCTTAGATTATTTTCCCATTATTAGAAGTTTTTATGTATTGTTCTTGTCTTTTCCCTTTTATATTCTGTCAACATTTACGAAATTTGAATTTGATTTTTGTTGTTTTTATAAAACACTATATATATAACAATATATATATATTAAGAAATTTTTATGTTTATTCATTCTTTTTATATATATATATATATATATATATATATATATATATATATATATATATAAAAGAAATATAGTCTTAAGGTGTGCTATATTTATGGAATAAAGTGCTCAATATCAGAGATAGAGCGTGTGTAAATATAAAAGTGACCATAGAAGTCAACACTTAGAGGCGACAGTCTGTTTCATGCTATATGCAATCGTCAGGCTACATATATATATATATATATATATATATATATATATATATATATATATATATTACTCGTAGTAAGTTAACATTACCATCTTTCCCAAATATGCAGTAAAAGTACTTGACATAAAATATATGTCATGTCCCTCTAGGACGTTAGCGATCATGGCTCTCTATAGCTCCCTGTCTTTTGTAGCTCTCAATATATTTTGTCTCCGCCATCCAAACTCAAGCTAGCCAGGTAGTTTATACGTTGTTTTCCTCTGCCTCTCTTGCCTTCGGTCAACCATGTGAATATCAAATTTCCCAAGCTCTCTTTCCTCATAATGTACCCTAGAAATTTTAACTCTCTTCCTGGTATCCTTTTTATTTCTATTGTCTCAAGAACTTCTTCGTTGCTGATATGTTCGGTCAATGGCATGCTCAGCATTCTTCTGTAGAACGACATTTCTGTTGCTTTAAGTCTCTTCTTCATCTGTAGGAAGATTGTTCAGCATTCTCTGCCATATAAGAAGGCTGATAAAATAGAGTTTATCTAAAAAAAAATATTAGATCAGTAACAAAAATGTCTGGTTTTAAACTTGAGCTGCTAAGGTTTATCTATCTATCTAAATATATATATATATATATATATATATATATATATATATATATATATATATATCTCTCTCTCTCTCTGTCTCTGTCTCTGTCTCTCTCTCTCTCTCTCTCTCTCTCTCTATATATATATATATATATATATATATATATATATATATATAAGCAAATATATGGATATAAATCCGACAGTATGAAGAAAAATATATACGGAAAAAACAAACAAAATCCTTATATACAATTATGCTGTTTTAATGTTAATATGTCAACGTCGGGCGTTTCGGTCTAATAAACCATCATAAGCGCTGATCTTATAAAACTTTTAGTTATCTGTTTGAATAAGTCTTGTTCTTAGGTACATCGTCTTTGTCATGTTGTATTGATAATGTTATAATTTATGAATATGTCCTGAAGATGGTTTATTAGACCGAAACGCCCGACGTTGACATATTAACATTAAAACAGCATAATTGTATATAAGGATTTTTGTTTGTTTTTTTCCGTATATATTTTTTCTTCATATATATATATATATATATATATATATATATATATATTGTCATCCACAGACAGACTGTTTCGCTGTATCACAACTCATCAGTGTAGTTAGACGTCCGGTTGCCTCTAGTTAGGATCGAAACCCGACTGAATTGGCGTCTGTCGGGGATAGATACATAGATAGATTTTACTTGTCAGCTGCCAATATACCCCATAACACCCTCGAGCGCTTAGCCTTGGAGCGGGTAGAATGGAGATCAAAGTGTTTTAGTTGACTCAGCAGGTTTCAATCAGCTTGTCTGAATCGTCTTCAAGAAGCGAGAGCAAAATCTAAAAGGTCAGCCATTCTAACAGTGATCTCATCCCACAATCCTTATTCTTGCTCCATATGCGGCCTCCTTTTTAAATCACTAGCGGGTTTTAAGTGCCACTTTTTAATGCCACTTATATATATATAATTTGAAATAACTTGCCAATAGTATGTGAAGAATTCCTCAGCAAACAATCGAAAGAAGTAATCCGTTTTGGTTAGTAGAGTAGCGATGTCCGCATAAAACACTCCAACCAAAGATCTGTTATTTTATTCAGGAAAGATCGGCTTCCATGACTTTTTCGATCAATCCCATTAAAAATCCTTCAAAAGAAAACCCTTAATTGTGTAAGATAGAAAATCATACCTAAAACATGAAACATAGCAAAGAATTGTTATCTTTAATAAAAAGAATAATGTCAAGTACATGACATTTTTATTTATTTAAATATTTATTTATTATTCTTTGGGGGTATCTGTCAAAAAAACAGAGGCACAACATGCACGCACTCATCCAGACATGCAGGGCCACTTTGCTCAGACACGCACACATATACACACAAACACACGCATACATATATTAAGTATTACATTGTCCGAATACATAATATATACAAAAAGATATAGCGTAAATACTTACTCAGCAAAGCGCGCACATACGCATGCGTGTGTGTTTAAGGTGTGTGTATGCGAGCGCGTTGGCTTATATAAAAAGACGGATTTGGAAGAGAGAAAAGAAGAGACTTTTTGTTTTTTTGATTTTTTTTCTTAATTATTTTGCTTCTATAAAAAAAGCAAATCTTATTAAACACCATTTCGTCTTTTTGTTTTTCATTTAATTTATATTTTTTCTTAAAGTTTATGTTGATGGTTGGTTACAAAAAGTGAAATTTTGTAGCAGCTTTGGTCCTTACAACAGAGAATTCGTTTTTCAGTATTTTTAATATACAGCTGACATTAAAAAAAAAAATAAGTGTCCATGCGTGTGTGTTCCTGTGTACGTTTCCGACTGGACTGCTGAGCAATAGTCAGTATTGTTTGTATTTAGTCAACGTTCCATAGGTAAATACATACATATATATATATATATATATATATATATATATATATATATGTGTGTGTGTGTGTGTGTGTGTGTGTGTGTGTGTGTGTGTGTGTGTGTGTGTGTGTGTGTGTGTGCAGTACGAGACCTATTTTTGTCTTGATCAAAATATCAGATTTCAGGGCAAATTTTCTCCGGTTATTAAAAACAAGGTGGATGTTACCTTTTAATCATTATCGAAGTCTTCAAATCATTCACACAGCCCAAAGTTTTTTTTAAAAAAATTTTTTATTTTATTTATTTTGTGTGTGTGTGTGTGTGTGTGTGTGTGTGTGTGTGTGTGTGTGTGTTTTAGAAAATAGTGTGTGTATGGGAACCCGTGTGTGTGAGATAGAGTAAAAAGAACACTTAGTTCTAATATCCCTACTGGTGTGTGTATCATCCTTATATTTCATCAAACATAGTCTATTGAGGGATATTTGTTAAATATATTTTAGTGTATTTACTTATTTTGTTTTATGGCTATTTCTGTGTTTAATGGATGAAAACGTTCAATTCAAATATCACCTTTATGCTATCCTCAATATCTATCGACTGCTACGACTTGTTCAAAATATTTTAATTTTTGGTTTGGATATCTGTCAGTTCTGACTATTTTGAGAGTTTCCATAGAACTTAGCTAACCTTCTTTCTCGTATTTCTACGAAGGATTTCGTCTCCCTGTTTGATTAAATAACGATCTCAACTTTTCAAGATAATTATTTTTGTATTTGTGTCCTCCGCTTGTAAAGATATGTGTATTTTGTTTCTGTTGTTTATTTATGGGGGTTGCGTAAAAGTGGCTAGTTTTGGAGGTTTTAAAGCTTTCAAATGAAATACATTTTTCAGGATAATCCTCCATTTTTTTCCTCATTTTTCGTATTCCCAACCCCTTTTCCGTATTACTTTTTAAAATGGTTAATAATCCTCGCTAAAATATCTCAATCATTTTTC